TTGTGGGACACTCTTGTGGGACACTCCTGTAGGACACTCTTGTGGGATACTCTTGTGGGACACTCTTGTGGGACACACTCTTGTGGGACACTGTTGCGGGACACTCTTGTGGGACACTCTTAAGGGACACTCTTGTGAGACACTCTTGCGGGACACTGTTGCGGGACACTCTTGTGGGACACTCCTGTGGGACACTCATTTGGGACACTCTTGCGGGACACTCTTGTGGGACATTCTTGTGGGACACTCTTAAGGGGCACTCTTGTGAGACACTCTTGCGGGACACTGTTACGGGACACTCTTGTGGGACACTCCTGTGGGACACTCATTTGGGAGACTCTTGCGGGACACTCTTGTGGGACACTCTTGTAGGACACTCTTGTGGGACACTCTTGTGGGACACTCTTATAGGACACTCTTGTAGGAAACCCTTGTGGGATACTCTTCTATTACACTCTTGTGGGACACTCTTGTAGGACACTCTTGTGGGACACTCTTGTACGGCACTCTTGTGGGACACTCTTGTGGGACACTCTTATAGGACACTCTTGTGGGACACTCTTAACTCTTGTGAGACACTCTTGTGGGACATGGTTGCGGGACACTCTTGTGGGACACACTTGTGAGACACTCTTACGGGACACTCTTGTAGGACATTCTTGTGGGACACTCTTGTAGGACACTCTTGTGGGACACTCTTACGGGACACTCTTGTTGCACACTCTTGTAGGACACTCTTGTGGGTCACTCTTTTGGGACACTCTTGTCGGACACTCTTGTGGGACACACTTGTGGGACACTCATACGGGACACTCTTGTGGGACACTCTTGTAGGACACTCTTGTGGGACATGCGGGACACTCTTGTGGGACACTCTTGTGGGACACTCATACGGGACACTCTTGTGGGACACTTGTCTTGTGGGACACGCTTGTGGGACACTCATACGGGACACTCTTGTGGGACACTCTTGTGGGACACTCTTGTAGCAGACTCTTGTGGGACACTCTTGTGGGACACTCTTGTAGGAAACTCTTGTGGGATACTCTTGTAGGACACTCTTGTGGGACACTCTTGTAGGACACTCTTGCGGGACACTCCTGTAGGGCACACTCTTCGTACGAGACTTCCTCCAAAAGTCACGCTGCGAGGCTGCAAGACGAGCGTTTCGTACGAGACTTCCTCCAAAAGTCACGCGTCAAGTCTCAAAAACGAGCGTTTCTTACGAGACTTCCTCCAAAAGTCACACGTCAAGTCTCCAAAACGAGCGTTTCGTACGAGACTTCCTCCAAAAGTCACATGTCAAGTCCCCAAAACGAGCGTTTCGTACGAGACTTCCTCAAAAATTCACATGTCAAGTCTGCAAAACGAACGTTTCGCACGAGACTTCCTCCAAAAGTCCAGCGGAAACACCCATCGGAGCACACACATCACGCAGCCCTGCCAAGCAGTTTCGCGAGTCCAGCCCCTCCAAACGACACCCGCTCACACGCCAATCCCAATGCGGCAGCGACATTCACCTCTACCACAACTCACAACCTCCCGATTCCCTGCGCCTGCCACGAATCTTTCCGCGTCCACACGTCTAACGCGCGCAAAGTACTGTGCCTGCCACGAAATGTCACCTCCGTCACACATCGCAACCTCACGGTTCCTTGCGCCTGCCACGAAAATCCCACTTCCACACCTCAAAACCCGCACAAAGTCCTGCGCCTGCCACGAAAAGTAACAATGTCATCTCATGTGAGCTTCAACAAAATTTGCACCACACCACACGTTTGGAATGATTTCGACCCGTTCTGAGCACACTCCCATCCACCAAAATCGGCATTTCAGCTGAGACTTGTCACGAAAACAGAGCTTCGATGCCACACCCTGAAACGCAAATCCCAATGGCACGGCCACATCCAACACCCCAAAAACACGACTCTCCAAACGCTAATCCCAATGGAACTGCGTAGCAAACTGCGGATCTCACAAAACGCTGCGCCTGTGCAGCGAAACGCATCACGCGTCTTGTGCCACATCTCATTTTCATGCAAATCACAATGGAATAGCGGCGCAAACTGACACGTGACACATCCATGAAAAGTCACTTGCAAAAGCTTCCCCCAATGGCAGCGCCTTAGCGACCTACTGCGGACGGTTGCGAACGGTTGCGAACGGTTGCGGACGGTTGCGAACATAGAAGCAACGGGTCGCGAACAAGACTCCACCCCCAGACCCCCAGAGTTAAACGAGAACCCTTCGCTACGCATTCGGGAAAAAAACATTGAACAGAAAACAACAAAAAAAACAGCAAAACAAAACGCCAAAAAAACTGCAAAAAAAAGAACTGCAAAAACAATGGGAAATCAGAATGCAAAAAAAAACAGCAAAAAAATGCGAAACAATTCAACTGGAGCTGACCCAGTCTGTGGCTATAAACATCTCATAAACCTACAGTATATGGTACTTCATTCGTTGGGTGATGAACAGTGAGCCCTTCACTAGCTAGGCACTTAGCTAGGCTGCTGTCCAGTTGGCGCCCAGCTTAGGTACCGTTCCCTCGATGACACCAAGGTGTTGGCCGCTTTTGCTACACAAGTGAGGCAGACTTGCGAAGTCTGCCCCGCATTTGAAACACGGGTTGTGCGGGGACCAATCTCGCGGATTCATGGCAAGCAAACATCATCGAAATCCACCTCCTTGAGGTCAGGTACAGGAACAATCTTGGAATGCCGTCGCGCAAATGGAAGAATGCTCCTGACTGACCGTCCGAGCCAAAAGTGGGGGAAAGGGCCAGGGTTGGAGATATGGGTGATGGACAACATCCTAAACGCCACTAAGTTACCAGTAAACATTGGACTATGTCTCTTGCCGGCTATCTTACCAGTCTCTTGCCGAGCTTAGCTCTTCAGGAAACGTTTTTTTTGAGCCACACCTAGGCCTTGGGCCTGCAGGTTTGCAGGCCAACCCGCTGTTGTCGACTCATCTTCACAAACTGACAGGACGTCTTGAGAGTGTGTTTTTCGGATCAGGTTCGTCAATCGCAACTTACCAAACAAAGGGATGATATGCCAAGAAGTATTACAGGTGTTTACTAACAGTGTTTACATTATACAGTAAACACACTCCACAGGATTGAATTTGTTTTTGCCGTGTTGATGCGCGAATGATGACATGCAGACCGTCCGGCAGTGGTTAGAAAGGCTGGAAGAAGATCAAACCTCCCGTTCATATTACAAGATATTAAGGGTGAAAGGGCAGAATGACTTGTCTAACACCACGACCTGTACGGGAGCAGTCTTTCCTTGCTTTTTGGGCAGTTGGCACACAAAATGGTTCTCCAAACCCTGGCACCTGAACACGTTTGGTCCGAGCAGTTCCGACCCAAGGCACTGCTCAAACGCTGGAACGCTGGTGCATTGACGCCCCTGGTGCAAAAATGACGTCATGCTCTGATTCATCCACCGTCGGCTGTTTTCTCTGTCTGTCGACGCTGCGAACTGACGAGGACAGTCCGGCCCTCGGACCCCTCCAGTCCTCGCAGTTCTCATGGTTCTCGAGACGGTTCGGAAGAAGCTGGAGCCACTGACCCCCGGGGATTTCGTGCCAGCCTGTATCGTTGCGTCCGGTGAAGAGAAAATTATACAAGCATAGACCCCAAACAGTTCAGGGGCTCGGCCAAGAGGAGGACAAGGCCCAGCCACAGAGCCCAGCCACGAAGCCCAGCCACAGAGTTCAGGGGCGCGGCCAGTGAGTGTGGCCAGCTCTTTTCTTTCTAAGATAGAACCCCAACAGTAAACTGTTTGGGGAAAAAGACGTGTGGCACAATAGCAGCACCAGAGTCCAAGACTGAATATATGTTCATAAATTTCAGAGCCATGTTTAAAAGAATGCTCCTACAGAAATTGCCCTGAGCCCTCCCTCATTCCTTCTTCTCATTTCTTGCTTTCCTCATTCTCCCTTTTGTCCTCTCGGTCCTTCTATTATTCTATCATATTCTATCTATATATCTATCTCTCTCTCTCTCTCTCGCTCTCTCCTTTTCTTGCACTGGCACCCTCTCTTTCCGTTCCGATTTGCAGCTAGGTCGTTTCTAAGCTCCAGCTCTGCCGGGCTGAGCCACAAAAAAAATAAAAGCACCAAGAACAGAATAGTTAAGCTAAGTGTTGATGCTGAACTTGTAGCGTCCACACCAACATGTCGCACCCATGAAAAAACAAATCTTCCAGAATCTTCCAACTAATCTATGATTGTGTTTTGCCACCCGCTTGGTTGAGCTCGGAGAAGGGAAGGGATGAGAGGGGATTTCATGGGGTTATGCGGGTCACCCTTCTATCCAACAATGGGAACTTGATGGAAGTAGATAATACACAGGACCTCAGGACCTGGTTCGACAGGACCTCAGAAATCCTCCACAATCCTGGCGGTTCCAACTTCCATATCGGTCGTTGGGACAGGTTCCTGTTTCCACCTGTTTCCAGCTGTCTCGCTCGATCCCCGCCTCCGGACCCTTGCGTCGCCAGAGTGCCAGGCTTCTCGAGCCATTGGGGCGCTCCGTCTGTTCGTGGCCTGCCACGTCTCGGACGCCGCTACACTGGTGCGCTCGCGGGTGCTGTTTACATAGAATGATGACTCCATAGCAACATCACCATGTTAACAGAAATGCAGCTCTTCCAGAGGTCCCACAAAGATAACATCTCAAACCACCTCGTGGTTGTATGTATATATACCTTTCTTCGGGCCAAGTCTCGTTGGTTTTTTTGCACATCAGAATTGTTAGGAAAAGTCACAACGATTTCGCACTCTGTTTTGTCAGGGGAATTTGCAAGAGTTTTCACGCTGATGGGGCAGCAAAACTCAAAGCATTCACGAACTAAACCATATAACACCGATTTACGATGCATGACCCATGCCGGGTTCTCTCCCCTCCAAGTCCGACTGTCTCCGGCGTCGGCTCAGCTTGTTCTCGCCTTCATCTTCTGAGGCGAAGCCTAACTTAACCACGTGCTTGCACAAGTTGCTCTTCACCTCAGATGTCTCAATCACTAGTGAGGGAGGCCCACAACGGTCACATCCCTTAAGTGTCCCCGCTGTGGATGAAGCTCTTGGGCCAACAATGTCCAAACAGCATGAGACCCTCCGCTGGCCAAGAGCCAGCCAAATTCTGATCACTCAACAGCCGGCATCGATTTGGTCGAATATTTGCGCCCAAGGTCCACTTCCTCACCCAGCAGCCAAGAGAAATCTAAGGCTTCCTGGGCGGAGGGTCGCAGCTCCGGATCTTCGGCCAAGAGTGAGTAGAGCAGCTCACAGCTGCTTTCGCTCCGGAAGAGTCGCACCTCGGAGCGAGGGAGCGACCTGGGGAGGGTGGGTTACACAGCCATGCAGGAAGCCAAAGGAGGTCCCTGATGGCCGAAAACGCCTTGGAAAGCACCGGCCCAACCGCCAAGAAACGATATCATAGCTCAGTGGGCCGCTGTTACCTGGCTTGCTGACCTCATCTGGATGAAAGGGATTGCTCCTGGCAGGGGAGCGCCGAACAGTTTTCTTTCCATGTTGTAGCGGAGGCCTGACTCACTTTCAAACCCAACAATACATGAACGTCCGATAAATTCCTCCAGTCAGCGAACTCCGATAAAAGCAAACCCACCACCAAACCATGCTAAACATCACAAAACTTACGGCTCTGGGTGCCATGCGGACATGTCAGCGCACCCCTTCTATAAGAAAAATTGATATAATAACGGCCAAACAGCCAGTAGTGACCCGGCACAATGCTGCAACAGGACCTGTCACTTGGCAGGAACATTCCGCGGGCTGGTTAGTTCACCGGCCACCGAAAGGTCCTGGTCAGGAGCACGTGAAGGACGACACCAACACCGAAGATGTCTGCTTTGAATCCACCCCGACCTCGGGAAACTTTTAAACAAAGGCGGGGAGCACGGTCAGGTGACCAGCACGGTCATGGGGCGAAGGCAGTCAGGAATCTTGAGTTCGACAAAAGCGGCTGTCTTGACAGAGAAGTTCTAAAGGTGTCCAATCCCACACTCGAATTGTGTAAACACACCCTATGAGTTTGATCAACATTGATCAAGGAGTTGCGGCTCACACTTCTCACACTGACGTTCAGGACAGCATGTGTGCGAACGGCTGATCCAAGGCACCAGGATCTTGACCTCACTTCCCTCGTGTTCATCGTTCGGGCCTTTGCAATCCGGACATCCACATCTAAGCGTCTCGGCTCGGGAAAAGCCTTTCTCAAGGAGCAAAACCACCACCAGAGATCCTCCCAGGCGAGGCACCTTTGCTCCACACTTCTGGCGCCATGTAGCCTGGAGTGCCACCCTTCCACTCCTCAGCCACAAAGGCTCCAAGTGTCTTGCAAGTCGAAAATGAATGCACACCCATGTTTCCCGCCGGAAGTTTGAGGCTGGGAGTTGGGACAGTTTTGTGAACTTCCTTCCTGTACCATCGGCAAATCACCCAAACATATCCCAGCATGACTGAGACACCGAGTTGCATTTCGGACATAGAACATCTGCAGGTTTTGCGAGTTGCAGCTTCCAGAAAAGAAGCAAACCTCTTTAGTGGTGAAGTTGACGCTGCTTCACTGCTTCGTGTGTGTTTGTTGTTCGTGTCCATCGTATGCAGCAGTTCGAGTGCAAATCAAGATCTGGATGGCACCCAAGTCCCTCACAAGGTATGGAGGGCCAAGCGCTAGAATCAAGGGGGCTTTGCATCAGCTATGGGAGGTTGAGAAGGTCTGGCAATGTACCTGTGGCCTCGCATGTGCCTTCACTGATGGCTATTGTATACATTCATCGGATCGAGGCGTGTCGCTGGCATCGATTCAGACTGGGTGGGGTATATGGACAACACGGAGATTGTCTAGATACATATATAGACTTGGGCCTGTCGTGGGGCCCATCAGATACACAAAGCATCTTCGCATGAAGATGAGTCTGTGGCCACAGATCCCTTCCATGAATTTGTTTTGCCTTGAAAAACGATCCGAATATACAGGGAATTTGTCCGGATGAACGCAAACAGGCCCGCTTGGCTCCAACGGGATATGCATGTAACATGTAGCTAGGCGGCGTTAACATCAACTCTGGAAAATTCCAAGTCATTTCGTGAATCTTCGTGTGGTTGTTGCTGACAGGACGATTCTGCTGATGAGGACAATGATAGACATGATTAACCTTTTGAGTTTGATGATCGCTGTTTCGAAGTGCCTACTGGATTCCGAAGTGAGCGAAGAGCAGCAACTCAATTTGAGGCCTTTGCCTAGCACAGCAGATTATATTGAAATGAAATATATTTGAGCTTGAGCTCCATATTGTACTGAAATATATTTGAGCTTGAGCTGCAGTATAATTTGCTTCTAGATGTTTCTGGTTTGTTCTGTGGCCTTCCAAATTCCAGTGGCTTCGCATATCTCGCTTTTGGAAATGGGAACCTTTTTTGTCACAAACGCTGGCATTAGAACTCCAGCTTTTACAGTTAATTACATGATGAGTTGAAAGCCTGAAGTGGAAGATTGGGGTTCCAATTCATCCAGGACCATGTGAACCTTATCTTGATGCAGTGTTTCGCGTTCTTCCACCGTCAATCAACGGGCCGCCCGCTTGGCCGTCGCCTTCCAAGCAGCGGGTGTGGTCGAGGCCAAGCGAAGCGGGTTATGCACGAGTTGGTGCAACAGAACCAGTCGGCTCACAAAACCGAAACCAGGCGGGCATTATCCAGTGAATCGGATTCTCCATGATTGTCGGTCGTGTGCGGGAGCGCGGTGCTGCTTGGTGCGGCAAGTATGTGCTGGCTAATGGAGGTTGGTCCTTTGTGGCTCCCAGATCCAGATGGTTCATGTCCAGAACATGCCACACGATAGACCTGTCGCAATTGCATAATGTATCATAATGTTTCATTCTCAACTGGGGTGTTGCAATTGGTCAGCTGACTGCACGGCACATCAGCATGTCGATCAATGATGGTTACTATGTGTATATATATATATACCGAACATATATATATATATAACGGTCAAATCTCCTCATCGGTTTTGAACTAAAAATGGATGTCATCCGTTTTGAATTGGACCTTATCGTTTTACAGTATTTTGAGTTCGCCGCATACTTATTATCATATACAGTGCTGGGGCCGCTGTGGTTATCGGTTTTGAGGTGGATCTTGTCGTTTTTCCAGCTTTTTGTGCATAAACCTACCCCTCTTTGCTAAAGTGGTCTTCGCATGTTGTGACCGTAGCTCATAGACCTGTTAGTAGTTAGTCACTCCTCTTTAAGGAGACTTGCTGGTTAATCTTGTTGGTGATTGTGTTGCAATCTGTGGCATAATGAGCAGATGATTCCCTTCCACAACCCACAGCTGTCGGTCTTTCAGGTGCTTTGATGTCTCGGTAATTAAGCAACTAGACTAGACTAGAATCCAGATAACGGTGAACTGGATTGTTCTCGCCCCTGCATCACCAAGAAGCTGCCACGCCTTAGAGGTCCAAGTCTCAATTCCGGCATCTCCTCTGACTCAACACCCGTCCCTTCAACACCCGTCCCTTTGAGGTCCCGAGGCTCGATGAGTGTGTCCTTCTCCGGAATCGAGGTTGCCAGGTCGAAATCGCCCAGGCACACTTTTCGACCTCGGGACCCAGGTCGAGTCCCACAGGAGGCAACTCGCCAACAGGGAGATGCAAACGACCGAAACCACCGGAGACAGGTGAAAGGAGGTGGTCCGGAGGTGCAAGGTGTCTCCCACGCGGGTCCTTCCTCAATAGCATCAATAGCATCAGATTTTAACACAATATAGTATCAAAAAAACAACACAATTGCATCCAAACGTCCGTGTTAGGGGTCCAAACGTCGGTCTTGTTTGTGATGGCGCCGTTTGGGCGGTTGGAGGTCCAACAAGAACACGCAGCACAGCTCAGTTGCTCTGCCCCTGTTCGGCCCTGGGGTCTGCCTGTTCGGACCTCCGAGCTGACTGGGGTGCTCCAATGCCCCGATGCTTCGTCAGGTCAGGGTCTGTTTCGTCGAGCTGTGTCCATCTATCCCAGTGGCCAGCATCTGCCACCATGATGTTGAGATCCTTAATGTCACCTAAGATTGCAGCACATGGCTCTAAGCCTTAGGGCCTCTCTGGGCCTAAGCCTGCACACATCGCCGATGAAAAGGATTGAAAAGAAGACCTTCACAGAGGTAAAACCTCTGGGCGCATCCCTTGGCCTGTGCTCAATGTGTCTTGGAAAAACACCTCATGGTCCTGATTTTGCTGACCGCACTTCTGATCCCCTTGGCGGCTGAGGCTCTAAGGACTGAACCACAGGAAACCTACCGCCCACCAAAGCCCTATGCAAACGTTTTGTTTTGACCCTCTCTCAGATAGGTCATTGGATTCCTCTTGCCATGCAACTGGATAGAAGACCCCAGACTGAAGGATATAGGCCGGGGGTTGGTGACGAAAGCTGGCATGGCTTGGAAACGGGATGTGGCGAGAGGTATCAGAGAGCGCATTTTTTGATGGAAGGTATCTGGTTTCCGTGCTTTGACTTACAGTCAAATGACCTAAGTAGATTGTCCTCTCCCATGCCTTGGTCGACGCATTCCTGAATCAGATGCACGGGGAGTTAAACCTGCGAAAGGGAGTGTGTGAATTATTCACTGGGTAGGTCATTCCATCCCCCAGCCAACGATTTGCTAAAGCAAGAGTAACTCCAGCTAGCTGACACTAGTTTTCGTAACCTTTCCGGGAGTCCAAGTCACGGTGGACAAGCCGCAAATTGTGCAGATGTGTCACACCCTGCAAAAGAGCCTCCGTGGCAAAGCAGGCTTCTGGTTCCGAAAAGGCTGTCTTCTGGATCAAGCTGTACAAGGTGCAGTCACACCTGCCAGGAGACTGACACGCACATAATATGAGAAAACAAGTTGTTCTTCCCAAAAAGGCGTTTTCCAGGTCCAGTCGCCGTGATTTGGACTGTTTTTCCTCGATCAGGCGAGTTACAAAGAGCCGAGTCATCGCACCTATTGCGGTCAAGTTCATGAGCCCTTATTGCATACATGGGCCGAGGGGAGGCAATAAATAAATGCACGAAAAGGATTGAAAAGGAACATCGCCTCCCCACCCTTTCGATGGGTTTCAGGATGCTTCAAGCAATTCGGCTAGATCAATGTCACATGCTCAGGCATTGGTTGTTCGAATCATCTTCACGGATCATCTCACAAGGAGCTTGATGAGATGACGCAAAGTTACCCACTGACAGTCAAGTCACTGGCATTCGTCTGCAAAGAATACGAAAGTGTAGCCAGCTACTGCCTCGGTCAGCCTCGATAAGCCAGAGCAACAAACCACAAAGACCATGCGACTTACTCCCTGTTGGGTTCGGGCAAACCAACAACCCCCGTAGAAGATCCACGCCCTTCAGATCATTCCTTCAGTGTTCCATGTGTCCCCATCGTGCCCAGCCTGTCCATCAAAATAAAAAAGAACACTCCATGTTCTTCTTCCTCTGGAACGGCGACTGTAGACCTACAGTGTCCGGTGCGCAGTAGGAATCAAGACTTGCAATATCTTGCAATAATTTGCATACACCAGCACAGGCGAACATAACATGGCATCCACCTGGTGGACGAACCACGCTGCGAGGGGATGTCCTCATGTCCTCCTAAACCATGACTTTCCTGGAAACGCTGTTGCGATTCAGTACATTAAGATCATTAAGCCGGGAAGCCTATGGATTGTCGCGTGCGCACACATGAGTCAATCTAGCCAATTAAAATTGCTGACATGATGTTGCCACTTGCCGCCTTTCACCCAACGCATCCAAAGAGCGCGTTGCTGTCCCGCCGCAGGTTCCGTTGAAGAACAGATGTGGCCTCCACCTTTGTTGAGTAGTAGCCGTGGAAATTGACGATGTACCTGGTGCCGCGAACCGCGAGAGCGGGGACACGTCCGTACCCAAAGCTGTGGGAAATGTATTTCCAACAGGCCAACCGATCTCTGGACCACGGGAGCCGGCCCTCTGCGATCAATTTGCCGTTCTCGGTTCCGTGCTGGGCGAACCCACACGAACCGTGCCGTCACCTTACTAAAAGACCCGGACAAAATGTCTATTGAATTCCATCGACGAGTCATTGAACATGCATGACAGTGTGGACCTATGTGTAGGGCCATCGAATTGTTTCTTGTAGGTCCTACTTAGACATGTGCCCTTGGCCCTGACCAGAAGTTTCCATCAGTTTCCAACTAATTATCTTGAAGTGACACCTTGCAACCACCAAAAAACACCAGAATCCTTCCCAGTTTGCCACGACCAACCTGTGTCGATCTTCCCCAAGTATTTACTTCCATGTTCGCCCCAGAATGGAACCACCCGTTCCGGCGCTCCGCCCCTCATGCAAACCAGAAAACGCACTTGTGGGCAACTTTGCCAAGATCTGTACTTCTCGCTGGAGCGCAGCAGGCTGCTTACCTCAAACCGCACACCGGCACCCACTGCGCTCGTGCCCCGGAAATGCCCCGGGTTTATTGCAGGTTTCTTCAGTGCCGTTCGGAGGCCGTGGTGCATCCCCAAGTTGAGAAATGTTTGTTCAAGTTCCTGTCCGCAACACACAACAAATCAACCAGGCATGCATCAAAAAATGCAAATGGTTCACCCCGCTGACAGCAGTACTGAACATCCCGCATTTTTTGGCCGTGACGAGTCACAGGGATGGATCCATCCTGCCGCACCTGGTTCTTGCTCCAGCCATTGCATTGCCAAACACACATGCGGAGCATTCCCGGCTGACTTCTATATATGCCAAAGAAATGATCCTATTCTTTTGTCTGTAACATTCCTTTGGGGTTGCACATTTTTGTTTGTCCAACCCAACCGCTTGCTTACCTTTTGAGGGCCTCAAAGGCTCCAGGGCCCAGCTGTTTGCCACTGTTGGTGTGCCCCAGTTGCAGTGACTATTTGTAAAGCGCTCGCCTTTGGTATAATGTTTGTGGCCCTTTGCGCCCACGATGACGCCCAGGCCCTGGTTATATGTTGGTCTGTGCACCCATCCAAGATCAGCTGGGTTGCCTTTGTCCGGCCGGAAAAACTTGGCCGCAAAGCGGCCTTCCTCCAGAGGTTTCTCCACTGCATGGACGCAGCTGGTGGCTCCAGCGCCTAACGCAGCACCCAGCGTGAAATTGAACTTCCTGAGGCGCAGGGCCAGTCTAAAGTGCAAACTCAATGTTGATTGATGGAAACCATTTCCGCTTCCATGATTTGTTAGGCACCACGGAAACTTGTTTTGGATTGCCTCCCAAAACCTGCTCGCAGTTTGGAACCTGTTTTGGTGCTACATGTGGCTAAATACTGAAACATCTGAAACCAACTCACTCAGGCACAGGCCAACTGGGACAAAAGCATGCCCCAAAACGCGAGTATATAGACACAAAATTACAACGAATGTCGGCAAATGTGCAGACCCTGGCAAAAATCTCCTGGTCGACATGCATGCGGATAGAGTCCCGGGTTTCACAATATGCGGCCTGCTGGCGCTGCCGCCTCGCTCCCATCACCAAACCATCACCAGGTCGAAATTTCGTTATTCAGTCTCCAAGCGTCGAGCTGGCGTTGAGAGATGAAGCGTCCACTTCAGCCGGCCCAGTTGTGGCACAAAGTGTGGCCACCAACTCCTCAGACATGGCCAGCAAACGGGCCTTTGAGCCAAGAGGCGGCCGGATGATCTTTTGTGTTTGGCCTGTCGCAGTGCGCAGTCCTGATGGATTGCCATGCAAATGCGCGTGTCAACGGTTCAGGCCACATTGCGGTTGCCGGCAACGCTTGTTTTCAAATCATTTGACCAACGGATTCGCCACTTTGCACGCCCTTCCGTACACACCAGTCATGGACAGCAAGGTGCGGCAGTTGCGGAAAAAAATCTGCAAGTGTCAGCAGTAAGCCGTGAAAACTCAAAAGTTTGAGGAAAAAAACATAGTTTTTGAGATTTTTTGAGCAGTTGCTCACCTTCCTGGGCCTTTCGAATTCAGGCCACTCCCGGCACCCCCCCGCACAACACAATTTGCACTGTTCCCTAAAAATGCACCCGCGAAAAGAAACCCTTGCAAGTGTCAGCCACCAGTCGTGGAAACCACAAATATCCAAAAATTACAAAAAAACACGATATGTTTTGGCAACCAGCGTGGCAAAAGGCACAAGTTGTTTTTTTCTTCTCTGCACGCTTTTTTCCGCGGCAAAGTCCTGGTGGAAAACCATTTCTATACCAGCGGCTCCCGGGTGTGCAAGGCCATTTGTATACCGGCGGCCACCGGATGTGCGAGACGTCGGGTTCCCTCAAGGTCGAAGAGGGAGGCGGGAGGCCAGAGGGGGGGTCGGGGTGCTGCTCAAGGAGGATACCCAATGAATAAATCGTTGGGCGAAGGATTTCGATTAAAAAATATATTTTAATCCTATCGAGCTGACGTCATTTCTTGTTTTAAATGTTCACGGTCGATGCTCAATTCTTTTGATTGAGATTCTGTCGTTTTGGAATCCTCGAGCCGACGTATTAATATAATCACATGATCACATCTGATACCGAAATAATGGGTTTATGGACATCAAGCCCCCACAAATATCACCCAAGAATCCTGTTTTTCCGTCCGCAAACCATCCCTTCCACAAATCCACCAACACCCTTTTTCTCCTTTCAGATTGCTCACAATCCTCGTCACAACGGGTTCGTGTGTATTTGTGCATGTCAAACATGTAAAAACATGTACAAACCACTTTATCACTGTGTCATGTCTTGTGTGTTCATTTCCTGGCTCCGAGTATTGGCCTGGCATTTTTATACCGGTCTACGAGGCATCGGGGGTGGGGTATTTGATTTCATAAAGAAAAGTTATGTATAAAATGGAAACCCTCAGGCTGCTAATTGTTAAAATGAGAAGCCGACCTTTTTATACAAAGGCGGGACAGCATACAAGACAAGAAAATCCGCAGACACCGTTTTTCTTTTTATGGAATGGTTTTCCATGAACTGGTGATCATGTTGATCCGAAAACAGTCCATGTTTATGGAATGTTCAACCAACATCTGCTTCATCCTTTTTGGAACAGACTCAAAAGTCCTTTGTGCGGACAAGTCTGCGGCTCTAACTTTGTAAACTTGCGCCCTCTGCTGGATCTTTCGATTGCTTGAGTGATATTTGAGACCAGGTAAGTTTTTGTCAGCTTTTGCCTGGGAGGGTGTGGACAAATACGATGGGCCTTGGCAGGGAAATGGTTTATAAAATTGGTTTGTCAATTTTTTCCTGGGAGGGTGTGGACAAATGCGATGGGCCTTGGCAGGGGAATGTCTTTATTCAATGGGTCTTGTCAATTTTTTCTTGGGAGGGTGTGGAATAATACGATGTGCCTTGGCAGGGGAAATTGTTTAGAACATGGGTTTGTCAATTTTTTCCTGGGAGGGTGTGGACAACTACACGATGGGCCTTGGCAGGGGAAATGGTTTATAAAATGAGTTTGTCTCAGTTTTTTCCTGGGAGGGTGTGGACAAATACGATGGGCCTTGGCAGGGGAATGTGTTTATAAAATGAGTTTTGTCAGTTTTTTCCTGGGTGTGGAAAAATACGCTGGGCCTTGGCAGTGCAAATGGTTTATAAAATGTGTTTCTCAGTTTTCGGGGGGGGGGGGGGGGGCAAATGCGATGGGCCTTGGCAAGGGAATGTGTTTATTCAATGGTTTCGCCAGCTTTTTCTGGGAGGGTGAGGGCAAATACGATGGGCCTTGGCAGGGGAATGGTTTATAAAATGGGTTTACCAGTTTCTTCCTGGGAGGGTGTGGGCAAATTCGATGGGCAGGGTGAGGTCTATAAAATGAGGTGTTCAAACCTCTGCGTTTTGGGTCCTTTTGTTCCCCTGTGGTTGGCTCCAGCTGTGATATAGCAATATAGTGGCTATAGGCTCCCTGTAGGTAAACCCTATGCAGGACTAGTTTCTGTTAAGTCTGTTTGAAGAAGAATCACACTCAAAGCATCTCAAAAGAATTAAAGTCAACTTTATAACCAAAAACATGGTAGCAACTGTGCCTTTTAAGACAAGTGATAACAATTGAATGCAGTCATCCCAACAAACTTGCAAACAAAAACATATGAACAACAACAATGCCCGTGGGAAAACCACTGCAAAATAAATATGTTCATTGAACATGTTGACATGATTTTGTGTGCTGATCAAAACCTAAACATTAATGAAACATGAACATTTTGTCTTTTGCAGTGTTTTCCACTGGCATTGTTTTTCACACGTGTTTGCTTGCAAGTTTGTTGAGATGATTGCATTCGGTTGCTATCACCTGTCTTAAACTGAACAGTTGCTGCCATGTTCTTTGATAATTTAGTTCTCTTTCATTGTTATGAGTTGGTTTACCAACAGGGGGCCTTTCGCATTACAATGCTAGTTCAGAGCTGGTTCTTGAAAGTGTGGTAGGCCCATGCAGACCCCAATGGCTTTAGACTTGTATTGGAAACAACCACGGTCGAAAAAAATACAACAAAAATGCACAAAACGCAAAGGTTGGATCGCCTCATTTTATAAACCTCGCCCTGCCCATCGTCTTTGTTCACACGCTCCCAAGAAAAGAACTGACAAACCCATTTTATAAACCATTTCCCCTGCCAAGGCCCATCGTATTCGCCCACACCCTCCCAGGAAAAAACTGACAAATCCATTGTATAAACCACATCGCCTGCCAGGCCCATCGTATTTGTCCACACCCTCCCAGAAAAAACTGGCAAACCCATTTTATAAACAATTTCCCCTGCCAAGGCCAATCGTATTTGTTCACACCCTCCCAGGAAAAAACTGGCAAACCCATTTTATAAACCATGTTTTTTCCTCGCTCCATTTTTCCGCAGGGCTCTCCATGTAGCCCAACTCCGCTACGGCCCAGAAGGGGGACTCATCCGTTCAGGGTGGGAGACGGCTGGGGGTGGTGGAGGACTTGGGGTAATGGGCAAGGAGTCGCCCGTTGGGCGGGAGGGCCTCTGGGTTGGGGTAGTCGCCCGTGGGCAGGGAAAGCAAAAACGACGCAAAGGCGTGCATGGCCGCATGGGTGAGTATGGCTGCCCATCTTGCGATCAAAGCGGTAGTGAAAGATGGGCGGAGAGCAGCGGAGAGCAGGTGCTTTGTTGTGTGCCAGGAGGCTCAAGAACTAGGTTGTTTCGTGGCTCCATCGTCCTCCTACTTCGATAGGGAAAACGACAAGCCGGCAGCGACTTGATCGTCGGAGTTCTGGGTAGGCCCTTTCCTTGGATTTTCTGGCGTCTTGGAGTGCAGCTCCAGCATAGCTCCCCCCACGGCGGCGTGGTTCCCCTGTGCTGGTCAGGGGCGACACAAGTGTGGTATCGACTGCGGGTTGCGAGCCGTTCCAAAATGCTAGCCCATTGGCGATGACTTCGATTCATCTGTCATCAACCCGGTGCACTGCCGGAAGGTTGAGATCAGCCAATCGTGTGTTTTGAGTGACTCGGGCGCCTGCTTCCCGGCACACTCTGGCTGCGGCATGCTCTAGTGGGCCTCCACGTGTCCGGAGTAAGCAGCGGGGTGGTCGCCATAGGTGTCAAGAGTGCGACGGCACCTGCACATGCGTTCGGCCAAGGGCAGTGGGAGTCGACGACGCCTGAGGAGCAGTACCCGAAATATGTGTGGTGGGTGCGTGGTGTCTGGCCCGTAGGGGATGGTTGTGAAGACTCTGCTGGCATAGGGGCCCGCTTGGGAATCGAGCAGGGCTTGATCCGCTGGGGGGAGGCTTTCATAAAGGGCCGCCCTGGCAGCTCGGGAGAGGCGCGTGGTGGCTGTGTGTTGCCACCCAGGCTGGGTGGGGTCGAAGGTTAGCATTCTCGGGCTTGCTGGGCCCCTTGGGTGTGGGGTAGGCGGGCTGGATGAGCCAGTTGGTGGCGGAGTGTTGCCGCCAGAGCCGGCGCTTGTTGATGTAGAACTGGCAAGGCGTCTGCCGACGACGCCCAGAAACCTGCCACGGCTGCGCTCGCCGCTGAGCAAAGGCCTAGGCCTCCATGCGCCAGGGGCTGGTGTGCTCGGGCAAGGGCAGTTGGCGGCAAATCGGCGGCGTCCAGCAGTCCCATGTAACTGCGGCTTTAGTGAAAACAAATGGAACCACAGAACCACTAAAAAACAGTTGACCTGAACAGTTGTCCTGCAGCTATTTCTAGAATTTCCACTTTCAGATCATATAGGTCTGAAGCAGAAACTAGTGTCTCTCCCCCAAGTAACTGCGAATCGCTGCGACTTCCTGGGACATTACCGCCAAGCTAAATCTGTTGAGTTTTACAAATCGAGGCGACTTCCAGCATTGAGAGTAGATAGTTGCACCGTGGGCTTGCGGTAAACAGAAGCAAAAGCCAAGAGGCTTGGAGGTCGTGGAGGGCTGGGACGCTGTGCAGGAGGGGAATGTGTTTGGCCAGGGTGAGGAATGCCTGGATGTACGCTGGTGTTCCAGGGATGCCCCTAGCACGGTGATGCCTTGGCGTTCGGCTGGGATGGCGCGGTCCCCGACCCAGACCCCGTCCCCGAGGCTGGCAAGGTGTGGAGGGGGTTCGCAGGCTTGGTTCCATATCCGCGTTTTACCGCTGTTCAGCCGGATGCGCGCTGCTGCAAAGAGATGGTGGGCCAGCAGGTCATAGATGGTCCGG